TGCCTAACTCAAGGATGGTGTGCATTAACATAGTCACTGGTACAAAATAAAGTTGTGCCAGTGAAGTTTCTAGCACCAAGGTGATGAGTGAGCAGAGAGAGGCAGAAGTTGCAGGCCAAGGCAGGCCTCCAGGAGGAAGCTTGCTGGCCTTGGCGACAGGTGGGGGATGCCAAAGGGCATGTGTCCTTCGTTAAGTGCAAAAATCTGGATATACCAAGGGCTGACGGAAGGCCTCAAGCAGGCAAGAGAGGGATGGTCATTCAACACCCCACACAACACAAGCTAGAGGGTTAATATGGAGTGGGAGAAATAGAGGTGACAGGGCTTCCATTGGATTTGCCACGGTAGGGGTGAACTCTGTCAACTCCAGACAGAGCTCCCCAAGAGAAGACGGGGACCCTTTCTACAGAAGGACTGATGAATGGATACCATGGGTGACATCTTCCAAGAATACTTCCCTACTCCCTTCCCAAGTATCTTTCCTGCTAAGGTTTGAAGTTCTAACATCGCGGATTTACTCCTAAGTATGTGTCTCGTGGATTTACTCCTAAGTATGTGTCTCCTCCTGCTTTTAGCCCCCCCCCCACTATAAACATCAAAAATGCTTGTAAAAGAAAACTTGGAAAATACACAGAGGGTAAAAACAGTTTTCCCACACCCTCATCCTCCACGGCACCCACCCACTTGTAACATTTTGTTCTTTTTCTGCCCTCCTTGTCATTTTTGGGCTCAGCTGTGAGTCTCCTGTGTAGGGATTCTGAAGCCCTCTTTCTCACATAGCTTCTGTCTAATTCCAGTTCCATGTTCTAGAAACATCAGTTTCCCCACCACCAAGTGCCAGTGAGTTCTGTGACCTTTCTGGATTTTAGTGTTCTTGTCTGTAAAATGAGGACAATGATGACTGATGCCCTAGCCCACAGTGCTCCAAAGTCTAAGAACACAAATGAAGGTCACTGGGTATTGCCAGTACCACACAAATGTGTGGGGTCAGGACTGATGGAGTGGTCAGAAGAGAACTAGTCATAATGACTGGCAGAGAAGGCCAGGTCACAGGGAGGGTGGGGAAGGACAAGGAGAGGGACAAGCGAACAGACAGCACCAATCCTATCTAGGCCTCCCCAGGACCAACCTCACGGGCTCTGGTGCTCTCCCTCAGAACTGTTGGGGCATTGCTTGCCCTGCTTCCAATTGGGTCCAGAGTCCATTTCCGCTGGTGCAGCTGAGAGGGAGACTAGAGGGAGACAGTCACCTGAATGCCACATTTCTACTCACTAATGGCCTCATGGGGAACTTAGGGGGTTTTCTGAGTGCTCTCTGGCTGGAAATTGGAGGTGTGAGGAACCTGGGGCCAAGAAGGCTGGTTCTTGGGGTTTGGCAGCAGGTGGAGGAAGAAAGGGATTCTGGAGACCCTTTGGAGCTGAATTTGATTCAACTGTTACAAGACCTTTCGCTCCATGCTTGTGACCTCCAAGGGATGCGTCGTGTATGTGAGTGTGCACATGCATACGAGCACACTTGGGAGCAGGTGCGTACCCACAGAGGAGGGGAGACGCATCCCTGAGCAGCGGCTGCCTTGGGCTGCTTCATGGAGACAGGTAGCTGCATGTGTATGTCTAAGAATGTCCCTCCCGCGGACCTGTGTGGACGTGTGGGTACAGAGCAGCTGTGGGTCTACCTAGGAATTTAGACATCCTTGGGGGAGATGTGGGGGGGGTCTGTGAGTCACTGAATATCTGGACTTGTGCTGTAGTGCTGGTGTGTGTGTGTGTGTGTGTGTTTGTATGTGTGAGCGCAAGCACCTGTGCTCAATGGAGTGTGTGTCAGCATAGGAGGGAGTGCTTCTGTGAGCATGTGTCATGTTTGTATGACACTCCATAACTCTGCAGCTGCATAAAAAGTCCACAGATCAAGGTTATAAGCTGTTCCCTAAGCACCTACTATCTGCTGGACCCTAGGCCAGGCTCTGGAGACAGAGAGAAGTAAAACTCAGGCCTGCCCCTTGAGGACTTTGCAAGGCAGGGCAGGGTGGGAGCACACCAGCCATACCAAGGACCACTCCTTACGTCCTTCCTTAGGGAACCCATAATACCACCACCGTGGGATGATCTGCTGCTCCACCGTCTCCCCCTCCATATTATGAGCCCCTTGAGGGCTGACACTTAGGAGGTACACCATGCTCTGAGAGGATGTATCATGCGTAGACTGCCATAAGTCAGGCTGTGCCTCTGCATCCCTGAGCCAGCCATGGTCAGTTGTGAGCCATGGCAACTTTCCTGGGACTGGGCTCAACTCCTATCTCCACGACTACCGCTGGGCCACCTGCACCAGCTATTTCAGCTCTCCCAGCCTCAGTTTTCTCATCTATGCAATGGGGATAAGGATCACCCCAGCCTCCTAGGGCACTTGAGGCCTCACTGAGACCATGGACTGAGCAGGGTTTTGTGCACATTGGAGCTCCACACCCTGGAACTGCTGTAGGAATTCCCATTCTCAACAATGAGGAGCTGCCACCTGGGCCATCTGTAAAGCCCGTTGACTAAGAAGGCAGGAACAGAACTCTGAGGGCTCTGTGGGCAAGTTTGGGATGACCCCAGGCAGCAGATTTCAGGTACGATTCTAACTTCAGAAGGAAGGAGCCCAAGAGTGGGGTCTATGCCATTGGCTGGGGGAACTCAGGGCATTTATCTGAACATTTTCTATGTGTTTTTCACTCTCCAAGCATCAAATCTTTGCTGTTTCCTCTACTGTCTCTGCAGCACAGCCTCCCATCAGACATCAACATGTAATTTTCATGAAATTTTCAAGATATGTCACCTCGGGGGAAATCCCTCCTCCCCACACACTGCACATGCCTGCCTTACTGTGCTGTTCCTGTGGTGTGTGCTCATGGACTTGAGGACAGGAGGGGCAGCTGGGGCAGCCCATGATGGACCCACTCCCTTCTCACCTACCCACACTTGGGTGCCCATGGACATGGCTGGGGCTTGGTGGTGTCCCCCCACCACTCCAGTCCATGGCTCATCCTCCTCTCTGACTCACTAGTGCTGCTCAGACCCCTCCTCCTCTGAGCCTCCTTGATCTTGATTCAAGGTCTAACCAGCGGTGTGCTGGAGCCAGGTCCAGCTGGCTTGCAGAGCCTACTGTGCACATCTTTTCCTAACTCTGGTAAGTAAGAACCACATTGGGGGCTGGGATTGTGGCTCTGTGGTAGAGCGCTTGCCTAGCATGTGTGAGGCCCTGGATTTGATTCTCAGCACCACATATAAATAAATAAAGTTCATTGACAACTAAAAACATATTTTAAAAAAAGAACCACACTGGTAGCTTGAAATCGGTCATAGTGGGGACATTTACATTTATGGCACAAAAATAAACAAATGATACAAATCAGACACCTGTTCCCCCAGCTCCCAAGCTCATAGTAAATTCCACCGTACTGTGGCTCCTGCCTGCAGGCATTAACAGCCATTGGTATTGAGTGTTAGCACCTGCTAGGCATATGACATCTCATCTGGACAAAAATCCTGTGAGCTATTTGTCATCATTCTGGTTTCATATCTGGGGCTCATAATTTACATAATCGGAAGCCAGTTCTCTGCACATGCTACTGGGCCACACAGCCTCTGATTTGATAAGGCTGGCAGAGCTGTTGAAGATCAACAAGTCCTCTAGTCACTCCACTCATTTGAAATACAAACAGCTCAAAGAGGCTCACTGTGGCAGGGGTCTCCTCTGTTAATACTACTTATCGTCCTAACTGTTATCTTCCCAACACCTCTCCCAGCCCCCCAATTATGCTGATGCCCACAGTAAAGCCTTGTTTTTCTTGATTTGATCTAGTGTTCAATTCCCAAAACATTTTAAATCTCGCTTGGGTGATTAGTTGTATGTCTCCTTCCTAGAGGTGCCACTCTCTGCTTTGATCAGCACACTTCACTACAGGAATTGGAGTTAAACTTTTTTTTTTTTATTGGAGACTGAACCCAGGGTACACTACCACTGAGATATATCCTTAGTCTTTTCCTTTTTTTATTTTGAGACAGGGTCTCACTAAGTTGCCGAGGTTGGCTCTGAACTTGTGATCCTCCTGTCTTAGCCTTCCAAGTCGCTGGGATTACAGGCCTGCCCCACCGCACCCAGCTCAGAGTTAAACTTTTAAAAAGAATAAGCAAGACAGAGCTTTGGGGGTACCCATCGCATAGAACTACTGGCATCTACACACCTTAGAGAGCAGGTCCCTCTTCCCTCTATGGCTCTGCCTGCCACACTGCCCAGAATCATAATTTCTGTCCTGGCAAACATCAACAGCATTCTGTGAAATGCCCACTGAGGCCCACGCTATGCACCTTGCCAGTGACAAGCTGCCTCCCCGTTCAAAAAAACAACCAAATAAACAAAACACCCAGGGCACCCTTTCACCCTCCCCTCTGACCAAGGACTCCTATTGCTCAGCAAGAGGATCTCCCCAGTCACTGGGTACGAATTTGTCCCGCTACAGGAGAGAAGCTCAGCGTCAGGACCGCGCCCTGCCTTCAGCGAGTGCCCGGGCTGCGGAGGGGGACCTGCACCCTCTGGGCAGGAAGATGACAAACTAACACGGATTTTCCGCACGCCCCAGGAGCTTGGAGAGATCGCGCGTCCCTCCGCCCCGCCCTGGAGAGGCAGAATCTACTCGGCTGGGTACCCCCATCCCGCCTCTCCAGGTCCGAGGGGCTTCAAGTTCCGCTGCCGGGTCCAGGGACGGGCGCGGCGCCAGGTGAGCTCTCACCTGGGGCGGTGGGAGAAGGAGCTAGGGGCGGTCCTGGGCCGGCGGCCCCACCCGCGGCGGGGCGGGGCGAGGACGGCGGGGCCAATGGGGCGGGGGGCTCGCCGCCTGGGGGCCGCTCCGCCCGCGCCGCTCCCTCCCCTCGCCGCTCCCGCTCCGCCCCACCCGGGTTTAAAGCCCCGCGGACGGCAGGTGGCGGCGCTGCGAGTGCTGAGCGGCGCTGGGAGATGCTAGAGGGCGCCGCGTCGCCGGCACCATGCGCCCCCCGCCCACGCTGGCCCTGGCCGCGCTCTGCCTCCTGGCGCTGCCCGCCGTCGCCGCTGCCGCCGCCTACTTCGGGTCAGTGCCCGCCGCGTCCCGACCCGCCCCCTCCCGCCACGGCAGGGCCAGCTCCCCGCACCCTTGCCCACTGTCCCTGACCCCTGGGAGGCCTCGAACTCAGAGCCTCTCCCTGATGGGACCCAGACCACCTCGAGGCTGGAATTCGTTCGCTGAGCTGGTCTCCGGCTTCCCGGGTTCAGACTCAAATCACCCTTTCTAGAATCCAAGTCTTTGGTCTCTTTGCGCCTCCGTTTTTCTCACCCCGATGGGTGTCAGACTCCAGCCCAAACTCCGGAGCTCTGCATTCGCTTCGGATCCTGGCCCTGTCCGCCCCAGCACCCCCTGTCCCTGTCTGTCCAGGCGTCTGTCCCGCGCTCTGATGCCCTTTCTAGATTCTCACTCGGGTTCCCTGTGTGCCCCATCCTGGGCTCTGGCCAGTCACAGTCCTTGCCTCGAATTCCTTCCGTGCTCTCGGCCTTCGCCCTGCGGAGGAGAGATCTGGAGGGCTGGGTGCATGGGTGGGAGTGGATCGTTGCGGAGGCTGAAGGATCTTGCTGATCCAAGAGGGATGGGGAACGTGGGTGGTGGGGTGTCAGCTGGAGACTGGAAGGGAACTGTCCGCTACCTGGCATCGAGTGAATGCTCAGGAGAATGACAAGGAAAGGGAGAGAACCCCATTTCAGAGGATGGTTGGAAAAGGAGGATCGCAGTTGGAGTGACACCTGCCGAGTGGGCGGTAACCACGAGGGGACTTTTTGGAGCAAAAGTTATAGGGCAATTATTTCCAAGTCTCTTCTTCTCTGACCCTGAATTGCAGGGATTTGGAGGGGTTGGGGTGGAGGCAGACATCATGCAAGGATGAGAAGGCATCTTCCTGACCTTCACCCAAAGCTGACTCCAATCACCTACATCGGTGACTTTAAACCTTTCCTTTACCCCACCTTTTTTTTTTTTTTTTGTGAGCTTCACCCCCACAAGGACAAAGCTTACTGTCAGACCACAGCAAAGGCAAGAAAACACCCAGCAAGTGACCTGCCAGAGGCTGCTCTTAGGAATCCACCAGGGAGGGGTGTGCAAGGGTCTGAGGAGTCCCTTGCAGACTGGAATAAGGGCTGCAGGCTAATTTCCAGGTCATGACCCCTGGAAATTACATGTCTGGGCTGTAGGCAGTGACCTCCCCTGAAATATATGGAAAAGATTGTCAGCCAAGATCTTAGTGCTGGGCCCAACTTTCTGATGATCACTTGGTCTCAGGGCCTCAGTCTTTTTCCTTTGTACAATGAAGGAGTTGAATTTGATATAACCAACCCCAAGACCAGTGTATGTATGTGATATTTGTTTTCCCAGGATTTCAAGCTTGAGGGTCCCCAACAGCAAAGACATATAGGTGGACACAAACTCAGGTTTGACCCTTCCACTTGCTAGCTCTATGCTCTTGTTCAAGTTACTGGTGGACTGGCTTTGTCCACCAGTCTCTGATCTGTAAAATGAGAACAACAGTGCCTATTTCATAAGAGGAGTGAGTTAGTACATGTAAAGCACTTAGAATGATGTCTAGCACATAGTAAATGCTTAACTAATGTTAACGATTATTATTAATAGTGATGGTAGTAGTAGTAAGGAAACCAGGTACAGTATCTTGATGTCCCAGAGGAAATCTGAGAGGTTTCTGACCTGGAATGGAGAAGAGAAGGACATCCCCTTGGACATCACCTCATTTTCCCGATTCTTTTGTTTATTTGGGCTTTATGGTTGGAGATAGAGCAGAGGTCAGGTGGGATAGGAAGAGAGAGGTTCCAGGAGGTATGGACCACTCTGGCTAGTGTATTGGAAAGGAAAATAGTTCTCAACAGCACAGGGTTAGAATCTGAGGGCTGTGAACAAGGGCATCTTTGGAAAGGAGGACGAAGTTGGTCAGCTAGGGCTGAGTCCAGGCCAAGAGGTTTGAGTATTGAAACCCACCTCAATACTCAGGAGCCCCAGCAGGCAGGGCTGGCAAAGTATACCTCAACCACCACCATCCCAGTGGGGAGCAGGGCATATGCTTGGACAGTAAGCTAAAATTAGGGCATCATCTCTTAAGTATATGGTCCCAGAGAATGGACAAGATTCAGCCGGGACTCTCACTGAGGAAACCCTCTTGGACTCAGTGATACCAGGTTTTTGGCTTCCTATATGAATCTGTTCTTTGGAAGGAATCTGATACCAGTCTTCACACTCTAGTGAGAATGTGAGGCAGTATGCCTCTCTCTTCCCCAGGCCGTTTGTATGCTAAATCTCACTTCTGACTATAACTTGGAGTACTTTCATTTATTTCCTAGTAAAAGAAATTTCAGCTACCAGGAGTGCAGGTGAGGCTGATTTTGGTGAGGCCAATCTTCTTGGGGGTTTTTGCAAACGGGCTTCAGATTTGGAAGTGACCCCCATCCCCATTGTTCAGAACAAACCCCTAGCACAGTGAGCCAGCAGTGGCCTTAGGTTCTTTTGTGCCAGCCTAGATCCCATTCTGTTGATGGTAATGGTAACATAAATTGCAGAGAAATTTACAAACCAGTTCCTCATGCAGTCTCTTTTCTCTTCAGATCCTCAAAGCCATTCCTGAAGTATGATTTCCAAAGGAAACTGAGGGTCAGAAAGGTCCAGTGACTCACCTGATGTCATACAGCAAATCAGTGGGGGCAAGATAGAAACTGGGTCCTTCCTTGAGCCTATGTTCCATGCCTTACAGAAAATGGCTTCCTGAGCTACTACTGTGTGATGCCCCAGAGGACAGCTAATCTCTGTCTCAATAAAGCCTCACACCTTCTTATAAAACAGGTATTGTCATCACTCAAAGTTCAGCAAGGTTAAAACATCTGCCCAAAGTCACACAGCTAGCCACAGGCAAAGCCTGGATTTAAACCCAGGATCCAAAGGCCTATGTTTTCATAATCTTCTTCTAGTGTCCCTAGAAAGGAAAGAAATGCACCCAGTGCAGAGGCCATGCATTTAGAGAGCATCACCAGAGATGATTATGATTTGAAAATCTGCTTTTACAGGAATGATTTCCAGTTACAAAGCCACTGGTAAGGCTAAAAACTGGGCTGAGTGACAGGACCTGGCATGTGCCTGGCTTATCACCTAAGCAGGGCACTTGCTTATAAAACGGCTCAGAAGTTAATATTTGCAGAATCCCTGAGTTCTCCGGGCCAAAGCACATACTCTTGGGAAATCCTAGACCTCAGTGCCAGGACCAGGCCTGTCAGGCTGGGAAATGGAAGGGCCTGAGGGAACTGAAGACACTGGAGACAGATGACTTGACTAAGGACAGTACAGAGAGCTGGAACAGACTTGGCCATTGAGCCCTGGTCCCCCATCATTGTGGCGTCCTCTGAGAGCTCACCTCACAGCCTGGCGGTCTCAGTGCATCCTGACTCCCAGGCGGGTTGTGCCAGTGCCTCCATTAGGGTTCCACCGCAGAAAGAAAGCATCAACTTTAATTTTTCCAAATTCTTATTGCACATCCTAAAATGCATGACTTTTAAGTACACCGAGTTTTAACAAATGAACACACCTGTGCAACTCATTTGTGCTGACCACAATTATTCTATGGAACATTTTCACCACCTCGAAGGATCCCTGGTCCTCTTTGTGATCAACCAACCTTTCCCATCTCCACCAGCCCCAGCTTTCTGTCAATTCCCTGCTTTCTGTCACTAGAGATTAGTTTTGCTGTTGTAGATTTCATGTAAATGGAATCAAAGCTTTTTGTGCATGGAGTCTTTGGCTCAACATGACATTTTTGAGGTTTGTCCATGTTGCACATTTCAAGACCTCTTTCCTCTTTATTCCTATTCAGTTAGATGGATGTACCACAATTTGTGTCTTCACTTCCTATGTGGGTTATCTCCAGTTTTAGGCTGCTCTCAATAAAGCTGGTATGCACACCCATGTGTACCTCTTTCATGGACAGATGTTTTAATTTCTCTGACAGAATTGTCTAGGGCTGGGTGGCTGGATCAGATGTAGGAATATGTTTGACTGACAGGAAATGGCCAAACGGTTTTCCAGAGTGACAGTACCATCTTATACAGTTCCAGTTGCTCCATATTCTTGCTGACTATCCTCCATCTTTGTTGTGGCATTTTAGTGGGTGTGCCTCGCTATCTCATTGCTCCATTGGTGAAGGGTGCGTTGGATATTTTTTCACGAGTATTTTGGTCATTTGAACTTTTCCATTGGCTTCTATGTCTTTTTTAAATATATTTTTTTAGTTGTTGATAGGCCTTAATTTAATTTATTTATTTATAGATGGTGCTGAGAATCGAAGCCAGCACCTCACACATGCCAGGCAAGTGCTCCACCACTGAGCTTCAGCCCCAGCCCTTATATGTCTTCTTGGTAATGAATTTTAAGAGTTCTTTATATATTTTGGAATCAATCCTTTGTCAGAAAATCTTGGCATTATTTTATCCCTGGTTGTGGCTTCCCTTTTCATTTTCTCATTGGTGTCTTATGGAGCTCAGGGTACCCGTCAACTTTTTCTTTTATGGATTGTTTTTGAGTGTCCTACCTAAGAAATATCTGCAAATTTTGGGTGGGCAGAGATTTTTTTTTGGCAGCCCTACCCCAAAGTTGTAGATATTTCCTCCCGTGTTTCTTCCAGGAGCTTCACAATTTTAGCTTTTACACTGAAGTAAAAGCTGAAGCTGCACTTTGAGTATATATGGTGTGAGGTAAGGATTGAAGAATATTGCTCCCCACATGGGGCTTGTTCTAGTGCCATTTGTTGAAAAGATGATCCTTTCTTCATTGCATCATTTCTATAAATTAATTGATCTAATATGTGTGTGTCCATTTCTGAACTTTCAATGTATTGTTCCCCTAATCTATGTGCCTGTCTTTTTGTGCCAATATTACACAGTATTGATTAATGTTGCTTTGTAGTAAGTCTATAAAACAAGTGCTCTGAGTTCTCTAACTTTGTACTTCTTTCTCAAAATATTTTTGGCCACTCAGGTCCTTCGTGCTTCCATATA